TAAATGTGGGTAAAGATAATTTTGGTAACTTTAAACTTTCAGAGATTGATTCAGGTACGACAGGTTTGTCGCCATTTGCATTTACGACCTTGTAAATCTTTAACTTACGAATAATTTTTAAGTGAACCTCCTCAATTTTCTCTAAAATCGACTGTTCTTCCTCAACGAAAGTGTCTATTTTTTCATCATCACAATTTGTATAAATTTCTCTAAATAGAGATTTAAAATCTTCCTTAAAAATTTTACATTTTTCTAAGATTAATTCAGCTTCAGCATTATCTAAGTTATCATAATCTATTCTCTCAATGAATTTAGTTAACTGTGTTTTCAAAATTTTCTTTCGTTTTTTTTTTCTATATCTGACATTTTGAAAATATTCTAAATTCTCGATTTTACTAATACTTTAAACACAACAATAGTAGCAATAAGGAAATCTCAAATGCAATTAAAATGCGTTAACTATTTCACTCACCTCGAACACTGTATCCATTCCGTAAGTCTTGAGAATTCTAAACCGAAATTGCATTATCAACTCCATTACGGACACGTAGAATTCTTATTCACAAGCGCGGGTTTTTCTCGAAGCTCCGGCGTATGACGACCAAATAATGTAGCGAAGCGGTATCTTAACTTTAAATTAATAAACCTAAGAATACATCACTGCGAGTGGACTGTAAAATTTAACCTTTATTCGGCGGTTTGAACTTTCGAACACAACACAGCACAAAGTAAAACGACAGAGTTACAATTAGCGGTTTTTAAGAATGCAAGAACAAAATGCGAACTACGCATACAATCTGCGCATTGCGAAATAATATCTAACAGACAGGCAGAGAGCTCTGGTGGCTGAAACAGATAGTATCTTGGGAACAGGCACCGTGATATCTGAACTATTCCAATCCGATATTTATATTAACAAACTCAGTGATTTAAAAACAATGAGTTGTGACTGTTCGAAATAAAACATTTTTATCTTTCGCGCGCGCTTATTATTCAGCAAAGGGTAAGGTTCAAATTTAATCTCTTTGTTACTGATTAACAAAGCAAGCGAATTTAAAGCAATAAATGCAGGTCTTAATAACATTTTTTTAAACTTTTTAATCTGAATGATCTAACTAAAAATGCTTTTAAATTGTTTTCACTAGTTAGACTCGTGCTAATAATTCATAAGGAAATTTTTCAGTATTCATTTAGTCCATCCAATCTATCCTATATCCTATAATATTATCGCTTTAAGCTCCCTTCTCTGAGAAAGGTTCGCTGGGCTATGTTGCATAGGAAGAAAGAAAAACATTTTTACTACGGAAAACATATTTATGATGTTTGTTACAGAATGACCACTGTATCACATGTCATTAAATTCTTCAGTACAAACAAAAGCAACATAAAATAAAATAACTGGTATTTGAAATAATATCAGTACTGCCAACAAATACTGAAAAATGCAAATACTACTACTAATAATAATACATAAATATCATACCAAAAGGAGTATAAATAAATTAGTTGATCCATATTTCACACACATATATATATATGTTAAGCAATAAGATGTTTCTGTGAGTGAGATGCATTATTCCCTAGAGCTCGCTGTCTTATAATTTCCATTGCATCTGAAATCCGGACTAGACGATTGATTAAATAAGTGTAATGTAAAAAAACAATACTTTTGGTTTATTACTACAGTCGTTAAATATTTTTATGAAATTATACTAATGTAAAAAAACAATACTTTTGGTTTATTACTACAGTCGTTAAATATTTTTATGAAATTATACTAACTGGAGTTATTCAAATCATTACATATGTATATTTTACAACCACTATTTTAGTCGGCTACTAAGTTGCTACTATATAATTATTGCCAGTTTCCAAAAGTATGATAGTAATAATAAACAATACTTTTGGTTTATTACTACAGTCGTTAAATATTTTTATGAAATTATACTAACTGGAGTTATTCAAATCATTAAATATGTGTATTTTACAACCACTATTTTAGTTGGCTGCTCAAGTTGCTACTATATAATTATTGCCAGTTTTCAAAAGTATGATAGTTTGCCCAGCCTATATCAGTGTCAAGTTAAAAACTTGACACTAATTGACTGCAGCATATAGGTCACGTAAAATGTCTTCGTTGTAACAAGAAAATAATGGTTTGCAATATCTGAAACCAAGGAAAACTAGCTTGTCGTCAAAAGTGCATCCGAAGATAGGATCCACGCCACGTGTCACCAGACTAATCTTGCTATTTAGCAGAAAGGATCCAACGCGCTTGTTCATCAGACTGATCCTGATATTTAGAACAAAAGATCTGTCAAACTTGTGATTAAACTGATCCTATCAACTGAAATAAAAGATATGTTGTACAATAATTCTCCAACGTTACGCTACGCTGGAATCTAACTTTGCGTATAAATATATATAAACTTGCACTAAATCATATTAAGGGTTAAAAAACACTTGCTTAAGAAATGTATTTTTTATACATATCAATACAAAATAGAATTAAAAATAGGCTATTCTTTACTTCGATACCGATGGCTTCATAAAATTGAAAAAAACTCATCTATTTATTGTTATTCAGCTTCCAACTGAGCGATTTTATTCTGTAGAACATTTTCATAGCAAGCTATTATTTTTTTATTCTATGCCTTGGAGTTAGAGAGTGTTCCTCATCAGGGTCTACGTTCTCCAAAATTTGTAAACTTTTTTTCATTTCAGCTGAGATCTTCTGTCAAGTTTGCAACTGTGATATGCTTTTCTGGCGGGTCTGGGTCTAAGCTATCAACTTCTTCAGTAGCGATTCGATTTGCTAAGCTATCTTTATAAGCCGATCGATTATCAGCTCTTTGCTATGTGCATCTAATAGCTTGCTGATGTCATTACAATCTATCTCTTAATTGTTTAGGAAGCCTGACAATTAGTATTGAATAAACGATTTGATTAGTCTCTTACACTTGTTTGCCTCGCTGTTGAAAAAGAATGGACAAATTAAACACTGGATTATATCCAAACGTCTTTACCAGACAGCTGATTATTTTGCCTTATAGAGTTGTAAGATTCCAAACCTTGGATGCTACTGCAATGTGTCTGGAACGTCGAGAGCTGCTAAGCGAATCATCGCTTTAGTTCAGTAGACAGAGAATAGAAACTCGAGAAGGGTTAATTGCCCTTTATTATTCCAAATAAAGTTTAACAGATGACAACTTTCTTGGAGTTTACATTAAAGCCTCCACTCGGGCTTGAACTCAGGGAACTAAGAAATAAAACTTAACTAATCTTAACTAAAAAGATATAGCCGAAGTTATCAAAATTTTAGCAGAGATGGCTATCAAGGGCCTAGATTACGGCCGAGCGTAATAATAGCTTGTGAGAGAGTATCGCCAAAAGGCATCTGTATCGCGCCTAACGCGCGCTGATCAGAATCTCAGGCTCTCTAGCGAAGTCAGTAGAACTTCACAGTTAAATACTTCTTCCCCCTCATTTGCATTGAAACGCGATTCTGAAAATACGTTCTGACCGGAAGTTGTAAACTGAAATTAAGGCAAGACAGGTTGCCTTAATTTGTTAACTCAAAATCCAACGTTTCGTTAAATGAGCCTTGAATGTTTTGGTTACTTCTGAGTTCATCGTTGACAGAAGATCGTTCTGGTTGGAGGCAAAATAAACCCATCTTTCGCGCCGTGTTGAAATCTAATAAAGGTGACAGGCAGGTTGCAAGAAATTTCCTCCTTCTTTACAGTGTACTTTCGTTACATAATTCAAAGCACATCCGGCTAGCGGTCGAAAGTTCCAGAGTTCGAATCCCGCGAGAACATAGCTCGTTTTTTGTATTTCCTGCTTCGAAAACCTAATAGATCAGGGCTTCTCAACCAAGGGAAAATTCCAGAAAATTCCAGGTGTGGGGAATTTCATAGTTTAAGGGGTTGCGGTCAGCCTTTTATGTACCTGTTAAGTATTAAATTTCAGTTTATTAATATAAAAATATAATTTTATTTATGTTTTTTTATTTATCAACATTTTCTACAGTTTTTATTATTTAATTTATAAAATGTATTAAAATATAATCTAAATTTAAATAAATATAAATGTATTTTTAGAGTCCTGGAAAGGAGACGGAGGGAGTTATCTTCTAACAATGGTGAAAGGGGAAAAAAATGGTTGAAACATGGGAAAAAAAATGGTTGAGGACCCCTGGAAAGGTTCTAGGGGGGGGGGGGGGGGGGGGGGGGGGGGGTGGGGGGGGGGGGGGGGGGGGGGGGGGGGGGGGGGGGGGGGGGGGGGGGGGGGGGACCATAAGCATCACTTTATTTAGAAAGAAATTTATTTAGACTGGTTGAAACATTTGACTTCGAGTATAAAGAAATGACCAAGTTAGTCTTCAAAAACCAAATCTTTTACTTAAGCTATGAAAGAACCATGTAACATCCAGTTCGTATAAGTGGAGGTAGCCTAGTGGGATGTTACTCTACCTATCATTACATTAATCTTGCCATTTGAGAGAAGAGGTCCGACTTGTCTGTCGTATCCTACTACTGAATTCTTAGTTCCTATCACATTGTGGAAGAAACGTGCCTTCGCACCTACCGTTAGATTGAGCCTACCATTTAGAGGAAAGGATCCAAGATGCTCGTCGTCATACTGATTCTGTCATTTGGAATAAAGGATACGATACGAATGTTGTCAAATGCAAGTTACGACTTTTTTAAAAGGATCTGTCGAGCCAGTTGCCAGCTGAATCCTATCATTCTAAAGAACGAATTTGTTTCTCTTAGTTTTAGGCATATCCTGCTATTTGGAAGAAAGTTTGAAAGTATTCGTTAGCTAGACCCTATCATCATCGAACGTGTGTTATATCAAATATAGCACCAATTGGATTTGTGTGTTATGTTATAAACATGAAGGATAAGTTTAAAAAGATTATGTCCTGTTAAGACTTAAAGGATAATAGGTTTGGTACAACGCATCGAAATAAAATCTCACAGAATTCCACCTACCATAAGAGATCCAGCATGGAGTCCAGGATGACGCCTTTGCGACCAGACATACTCGATTGCGGCTGTATTTTGCTGGATGTTATCTTCCGGCCAGGATGCACCACATGACCCGCTGTCGCACCCATGATAGCGGAGAAAGTAGAAAGTCCCAAAAAGAAAGCGATGGTGATCGCCACCATCTTTGCATCTCCTCCTTTCCTTAAGCTTGACACACCTGGGTAAAGAAAACGAAAATCAAGCGTTAAGACGCATGAAAAATTAATTTGTTTTGAAGAAACTCTGCCTGTTACTTGCTCATATTCTCACATGAGAAACATTTACAAAACCGTTGTTTATTTTATTTGTTTATTCTATTACATTCAGTTTTATTTACCTTTTTATATATAATAACTCATTTTTCAACGAATATGGGAGAAAAACTCATTTTACTATAATTTGTTTCATCAGAAAAGTAATATTGCTTTCAGTTAATTAACAGTTCTTAGATGTTACAAACAAAGATAAAAAAACACCAGAGAAATTTGTTTCCAGACGAAGATGAGGAAAGTCTTTTATTCGTCTTCAACATTAAGAACATATTAAATCATAAACATAAGAAAGTTGATAAGTTAGTGACGTGACAGACGATAATTGACATGGCCGAGTGAATCATTTAAAATGTTGTTGGCTTTACCATAGGTATTTATTTAATAGCGCCTTGCAACAGTTAATTATTCTATACCATGAATATGATATATGAAATAAGCTTCTAACATCTTATAATTACGTCAGCTGTAGAATTATTAACTTTTCTTTGTATTCTGTCGTCTGCATTAAAAATAAAACCTAATGGTTGTGAAGAAATTTTATAGTAGCATTAAAACCGAATTCATATATATATTTACGCATTTCTAAAACTTTTGTTCAGATAGTGATAGGATTTTCTAATATTTTGATGTTTTTCTTTTTATATCATTTATGTGTCAAAAGGAAATGCAAAATGAAACACCACAGCCTTTGAATTTGAATTCAGTTCTTTCCTAATTGAGATTTAAGATTCAGAAGCAAAGATTTTTGTTTTAGAAGATGACAAAGAAAGACATTATTTTTCTTTAAAAAGCGAAGCAATTCATTTACATGATTTATATATTTTTCATTCAAACTTTTAACATTTTCTTAGCTAAAAAGTAACGGTAAAGTTTTCTCTGAGGCATTACACCCGAAAATGATACTTCCAGATTGCGGATTATTATTATTGTTGTTATTAATTAGTGTTATTAAATGTATGTATACATTTGGGGGCACGCCTAATTTCTTTTCATTTTCTCTATGTGGAAAGCATAGAAATTTAAAAAGAATTAATTAAAATTTGAAATAATTATTCAGTAAGAATTTAATAATTCAGTAGGAACTAATTACAATGAAATAATATTGAGCAAATGACAGGCATGGGTGTATAAGGTGTTTCTCCCGCCTTCTTAGCGAGCCTTCGTGGTGTAGTGGTCTGCACGCGTAGCGCGTAACTGAGAGGTCCGCGGTTCGATTCCCAGCGAAGGCGTTGCATATTTTTCCTCTTGTCTGCTTCCAATGTTTCGGTTCCAGGTGTTTCGAAATTTAGCTTTATAATACACAGAATGTTCAAGAACCAAGTTTAATAGACGGCGAAATGGGATTAAAAAAAAAAAAAAAAAAAAAAAAAAAAAAAGAAGTTAAATATCATCACGATTGTTCTCCATTGTTTAAACTACTTTTCTACGAAATCCCAATCATCACCAGGCCGTTTGTCTAGTGATGATTGGGACGATTTTTCTGGACGAAGCCAGATCATAATTCTTGTTATTCTTGTTGTTGTTCAGATATCAAATCTTGGTTTTTTGCCGTTACTCAATTCGGTAATGCCGCTCTTAAATTTCCACTTGCTCATAATCGAAATGTTGTACGCTGCAGTAGTTGAATTTCATGTCAGTAGAAACCACGTGTTAGCATTCAAGAGAATTAGCAAGGAAAAAAATAGTAAATGGTTTTTAAATAGAAAGAACTATTTTGAAGCAAATTCAAAATAATACCACATTTTATGTTATGTTATTATATATAAGCATGAATAAATGATTCTTGTAACTCTTTATTTTGTACTCTGGAAAATATACCACTTTCCACAAATTCACCATGCGATGCGATTCTGAGTTTTCTAACGTGTATTTCCCACTTCATTTATATGGTTTTTATATTAACACTCCAAAAGAGACAGTGAGACTTCTCGCTGCCTTACCACGCGTGTGCTTTTCAGTCAGTTCCTGTCTGCCTTTAAGACCAGAACTTAAGTTCTCGCTGATACTTGAAGACGTATTGTAGTTTCCTACATTCTGCTCACTACATACGTAGAGTTAAAAGGCCAATCTTCGCGTTATTAGTCTTTGTAAAGTATCTTAGTTCTTATTAAGTTAAGTTAGTTTTACTTCTTATTTTCTACGATTTTGACCATAAGTGCTGGTCTTTGTATTCCGAAGTGCGGGAACGGCTGTACGCTGTGAGAAATTAAGGATGACTTTAACCCTTCGTCTTTCTACTGTACCTTCTGCACATACACGAGCATAGTTTCAGCAAGCTCTTTGCTCCCATTTATTATTTCCCATTCAGGATTAGATGTTTCCAAAGGCAATTAGAAGGAATAGCAGTCCTGACACAATGATATGATGAATTAAATTTTATCCCCACAAACATGCTATTTCCTAGAAATAACGCTTTTCTGAAGCTACATATCTGATGAGTTTAACTACTAATAAATAGAAAATTTTGATTGTTTTTTTAATTAGATAAGATAAACTACGACTCAGAGAAGATGACTGGATGATTTTCAACCCTGGTTATTTTCGGCCAGTTTGTAGTAGCATAGTTTATTAAAAACGTCACTATCTTTTTTACTGTTGGCTGCTCTGCAGTTTATGATTTTGGAAACAAGCGAAGGAATCAGCTGTCTACAGATCTTTTCCCAGTCATCCATGATTTTCCGTGCCCACTGATGTTAGTTAAGCCCGGTCGAGAAACCATATCAATTCTAAGAGCAGTTGTGACTGCAACAATTGGGAGGTCAATATTTGCGACTATTTGTACGGTGAAGATTGTATAAAAAAGGAATGACCTGATAACGAGTTAGTGTCCCTTTAAACATCAAAGCTAGATGAGAGCATTGTTCACAAAACGGTCAAACACTGCTTGCGAACGAGTACAGATTTGTGTTAGAATATACAATAAGCGTGTGAGGACCTGAATAGAAGAAGGAACGCAGAATTAAGTCCATAAATATCCTTGAATTCCACTCTCCAGTGTAGTCAAGTGTAATGGTGTGAGCTGGATTTCCCTTCAGATATCGCACTGACCTGCATGTCTTTAAGAAAGGCTGATGTTACTTATGTTACACCTTCATGCTGTTAGCCACAAGAGGGCGCGGCCTTTTACATTTAATTTTTTATTGTTTTTCTTACCGCTTTGAGAATTTTTTGATTGAGATATAACGGCAACTACAGGAAAAAAAAATTGAATGTTCTTCTGTAAGCAAGCGAATTGTAAATAGCTGTAAATAAAATTTTTAGTGTCATAAAATGGCAAAGATTTCCAAGTGTCCTGCAGATGTTTTGAAGGAAAGGTAAGCACAAAGGTTTCTTTACCAAATATTGTTAGACGTTAAAGGTAAAGATAAGAAAATACAACTTAGAAAAGAAGCAAAAACTGGTGGCATCCTATATCAATCTGGTGTTTTATTATATTCGTGCGACGAAGTCACATGGCTTTGTACATAAATTGCTATTAAAAATTTATTACACCATTACCTCATCTTAAAATCACTATGTTTTTAATACTATATCTATTTATTCTCACTCCTGACTCCACCCACTTCTACCAGCCTCCCAGTACATCTACGTCTTCTTCATTTGACGCTTGCCTCCCCACCATGAAGCATCACATTTGAACTTCTGAGTTGGTATCAACAACTAATATGACTAAAATTGCCATGCATATAATTGCTATCACAATTGCTTGCATCTTCATTCACATATCAACATGGGGAAGGATTGATAATAAGCATAACTACAACTCATGAAGTTAAACTAGGATTTATTTATTTACATTAGAATGAAAAGAAAAGTAAAAAAAATAATCGTCAAAAAAGTTTAAACACGTCCGCCCTGAGCATCGTTCACGTCTCATCTCATCTGACCACACCTTAATCTAGATGGCGCTCTTACATAATCTTAGTTACAGTTTCCACATAATTCGGCTGTCCGACATAGTCCTCTGCCCTCAGATGACAAGAGCAAACAGTGAAATTTAACATATAAAAAGAAAAAATACTAATGCTGTTAAACTAAAAATGAAAATACTAAATTAATATAGATAAATGGAAATACTAAATTAAAACAGATAAATGGAAATACTAAATTAAAGAGATAAATGAAAATAATATTCTATCGAGATCTTCTAATATCAGCACCTAGAAAAATAAAAAAAAAATAATAGTTAGTTATTATAATCAAAGAAAAGATGGATAGCATTTAAAGTCCAAAGGTGTAGATCAGTTCATATGAGTAACTGTTCATAAAGCACTAAAATTTAGGTAATATGTTCTGATGAAGTCCGAGGTTTCATAAATTCGGCGCTGGTACTTGTTTTCGTGGGTCCATCGAAGAAACCACATTTTTCAACATCATAAGTGTTAATTTAGAAGTCAAACAACAAAAATCAGCGTTCATTTAAAAGTAAAACAACAAAAATCAGCGAAAATATTTTCAAATTTCACAGGACTAGTTTCGATGGTTTTACCGAATCATCATCCTCAGCTGCAAAAGCGCAAGAGGATGATGGTTCAGTAAAACCATCGAAACTAGTCCTGTGAAATTTGAAAATATAACGCTGATTTTTGTTGTTTGACTTCTAAATTAATATTTGTTCGGCGTGTTATTGTATCTTAATCATAAGTGTTATTTGGCTTGATTTTCACGATTTTATAGGGTCCCAGAAACTTGGGTTTCAGTTTAAGACCAGGTGCATATTGTGTACGCTTGATTGCCACTAGATCATGAAGTTGGAACTTCCGGGATGGTTTACGTCGCAGATTGTAAGTTTTACGATTTTATGCCTGCACTTTCAAAATCTGTTGGTTAGCTTTCTTGCGAAGATCATCACTAGCGTTGACGAAATCTGACTGGATCTCTGCATTTAACAGCTCTGTAAATTTAT